TGTGTGGGTGTGTGTGTGTGTGAGTGTGCGTGTGTGAGTGTGTCTGTGTGTGTGTGTGTGCGTGAGTGAGAATGTTTGAGTGTGTATGTGTGAGTGTGCGAGTGCGTGTGTGTTTGAGTGTGTGCGTGTGCGAGTGTGTGTGTGTGTTTGAGTGTGTGCGTGTGCGAGTGTGTGTGTGTGCGTGTGTGAGTGTGCTTGTGTGAGTGCGTGTGTGAGTGTGTGTTTGAGCATTTGTGTGTGTGTGTGTATGTGTGTATGTGTGTGTGTGAGAGAGAGAGAGTGCATCATTAGAAGTTAGACTTGAAAGATGTCTGTGAATAAAGTCAGCCGCTCAAGAGCTCCCCCTGGAGTGTTAATTTCTGCTAAAATGTAGGAATCCTTAGCAGTTTCTAACACATGGCTATTCACAGTTTTATCCAGGAGAGGGCGACTGAGAAGCCAAGGGTTATTTCCTGGAGAAGATAAATGATGTGGGTTCATCACCTCGGTCCTGCCAGCATTAAAGAGTTCAAGGTGAGCTCACAGCTCAGCTTCGAGAATGTTTGAGTGTGTATGTGTGAGTGTGCGAGTGCGTGTGTGTTTGAGTGTGTGCGTGTGTGTGTGTGTTTGAGTGTGTGCGTGTGCGAGTGTGCGTGTGTGAGTGTGCTTGTGTGAGTGTGAGTGAGTGTGTGTTTGAGCATTTGTTTTTTCTACTTTCAATATGCGTGTGTGTGTGTGAGTGTGTGTGAGTGTGTGTGAGTGAGTGTGTGTGTGTGTGAGTGTGTGTGAGTGTGAGTGTGTGTGTGAGTGTGAGTGCGTGTGTGTGTGTGTGTGTGTGAGTGCGTGTGTGAGTGCGTGTGTGTGTGTGTGTTAGTGTCTGTGTGAGTGTGGGAGTGTGTGTGTGTGTGTGTGTGTGAGTGTGAGTGTGTGTGTGTGAGTGTGCACATGTGAGTGTGTGTGTGTGTGTATGTGTGTATGTGTGTGTGTGGTGTGTGTGTGTGTGTGTGTGTGTGTGTGAGTGTGTGTGTGTGTGTGTGTTAGTGTCTGTGTGTGAGGGAAGTTCAGACGGGAGACTGAAGTCACAGGAAACGTCTCTTAGCAACCGCAGGACGTTGATTACTGGAGCAAACTGTTCTAAACAGACCTGGACACACACTCACACACAGTGTTATTCAGTGTCAGTGTGATATTTCCTCTTTCTGTTTCTTGTAATGTGAGCGCGTCAGCTGCTTTCATGTGGCACAGGCCGTGGTGCGCTGATGTGTGTGTGAGGCGTCAAACACAGGTGACGAGTGTGAGGCCGTCAGATCATGTCGCGATGGGCCGGTTCTTGTGGAGGGTCCGGTACGGTACATGTGAACATCAGTGATCGCTGCGGTCAGAGGCATCACACACGTGACTCCCGCGTGTTTGAGCGTCTCGTCTCGTCACACCGGTTCAGAGCTCCCTCTGCTGGTGTGTTCCAGCAGTCTCTGCTCAGGTTCACATGTATTTCTGCAGTTGATGCATTTAATGCCCAGGAGCTTTTTAACATCAGTCATTTAGATTGTAGTGCTGATGTATGTGTGTAAAATCATCTTTGAAAGATTCATTAATCATACAGCAGAACCGCATCAATAGGAGATTTACAATACAAATACTCTGTAATTTTACTGAAAGAGTTAAAGGAATAGTTCACCCAACAATGAAAATGTGCTCACCCTCAGGTCATCCAAGATTAGGATGAGTTTGTTTCTTCATCAGATTTGGAGATTTCATCACTGTCTCAGCAATGGATCCTCTGCAGTGAATGGGTGCTGTCAGAATGAGTGAGTGAAGTGAGTGAAGTGGCGTGTGGCCAAGTATGGTGACCCATACTCAGAATTTGTGTTCTGCATTTAACCCATCCAAGTGCACACACACAGTAGTGAACACACACCTGGAGCAGTGACCAGCCATATTGCTGCGGCGCCCGGGGAGCAGTTGGGGGTTCGGTGCCTTGCTCAAGGGTCTCTCCTCAGTCGTGGTATTGAGGGTGGAAGAAAGCGCTGGTTATTCACTCCCCACACCTACAATCCCTGCCGGACCTGAGACTCTAACCAGCAAACTTCTGGTTACAAGTCCGACTCTCTATCCATTAGGCCACGACTGCCCCAATTAGAGTCCAAACAGCTGATAAAAACACCACAATAATCCACAAGTAATCAACAAATCCAGGAAGCGTTATTATGGATTATGGACTCATATTTTAGCAATGGTTTGAAGTTAAAAATGTCTTGATGGATTAGTTTCAGCTTTTGTCTTCTCCAGATGTTAACTGATGGACGAGTGCTGTGGATTATTGTGATGTTTTTATCAGCCGTTTGGACTCTCATTCTGACGGCACCCATTCACTGCCATTTCTACAAATCTGATGAAGAAACAAACTCATTTATATCTTGGATGGCCTGAGGGTGAGCACATTTTCATTGTTGGGTCAGCTTTACATTAGGTCATGCTAATGCATGAGTGTGCTGTGATTGACAGGAGACCATGTCTGTCGGTACACCGGTGAGAGACGTCTTCTGTTCTCATGGTGTCGTGTCCACTGAACCTTTCCGCAGCTCTTACGTACGAGCTCAGCCCTTCGACAAGGCTCTTACTGCCAGCCAGCGGTTCCTGCCTCCACAGGTACAACACACTCACACACACATCAGACCACATCACGTAAGTTACTGTATTCATACTCAAATGTGTGTGTGTGTGTGTGTGTGTGTGTGTGTGAGATTGAGTTCAGGTTCCTGCCTCCACAGGTACAACACACACACACAAACACATCAGACCACATCACGCAAGTTACTGTATTCATACTCAAAGTGTTGGAAGTTCATATCTTATCCAAAATTGAGTTAAATACAGTGCTACAGTGTATTTTTGTAGACAGTAAATTTGCATCACCCTGGTTTCCTCCACAAAACCCAGCAGGACTTTTTTCCATTGGCTTTTAGATTATTGCAGAAAATAAACTCTCTGTCCAACAAAAGTTTCTGATTCTTACATGTTTTGTCCATCATGATAATCTTCACAAATTAACACAACTTTCATGAATTTTGAAGCCTAAATACAATCATCAGAAGTAAAAAGCTAAATGTAAACAAGCTACACCACGGTCATGTCTTCATCATTGCAATCATTAAGCTTCACCAACTCTTTCAGTCTTTATTTAAGAACATTTTCCTTGAAAGTTTGAGTTAGAATAGTTTACCAAACCATGATTATGAACACAGACTAGTAAATCGATGTTTAGCTGTTCACTGTGTTGATGTTTAATTTCCCAGAAATGGTTATAACCTTGGTTCTCTGAAGGAGATGAGTGAGACATCTCACTATGGGAAACACCTCTTGCGTGTCCATCCATGAAGCCCTGTACAATCACGCCCATCAGGCCCGTGCTCTCGGGAAGCCCCACCCCGCCTTATTTTAACATCAGCGCTGGCGCAGTATGGAATACTTAACAGCTCTTCCGAGTATAAGAATAATGGGCCCTCTGGTGAGATGTCTCACTCATCTCCCTCAGAGAACCAAGGTCATAACCATAACCCAACATTCTCTTTCGGTCGACTCGCTCGACAACTCACTATGGGATATAGAAAACGCCCAATATTCGGGCATCCCCTAGCTTATTCATTGCACTTAGGAGTCTTCTATCCTCCTTTACCTTTTCTTCACTGCCTGTACCAAAGCAGATTTTGTCACGTCCAATTTATAAAATCTCACAAAAGTATGAGAAGCCCAGTCGGTTGCCGCACACACATCTTCCATGGAGATACCCTTAAATACCGCCCAAGACGTGGCCATTCTTCTTGTAGAATGGGCTCTTAGGTTTCCTGGTAATAACTGACTGAATCTGCCAGTTTTATAGCTTCTACTATCCAGTGAGATGTGCCTGGCCCTTCTTAGGGTTCGCAAAACACACAAAGAGGTTTTCAGATAGTCTAAAAACCTGTGTCTTCTCCAAGTAAATCCTTAATGCCCTAATCGGACATAAGTGCTGCAGATCCCCTTTCCTTGGCGACTTTGAGAGAGGAGGGTGGAAAGCATGAATTTCTATCTCCATAAATGAGTAGCCAGGCTTGATTACCTTGGGCACAAATGCTGGGTTTGGGCGCAAAGTAACTTGGAAAAATTTTGTGTAAATCTGATACATGCAGGGTTGATAGATAATGCATGTAACTCTCCGACCCACTTCATAGAGGTTAGGGCGAGCAGTAAAGCTGTCTTGTAGGAGACAATCTTCAAATCTGCCTGCTCCAAGGGTTCAAAAAGGGCTACCCTGAGTGCTTCCAGGACCAGGGACAGATCCCATGCTGGTAACATAGGTTTGGTGATTGGTCTCAGAAGGCACACACCCTTCATAAATCTACTTACAATAGGATGCTTTCCTACTGTTTCATAGTTAAATCCCATGTGGCAAAATGAAATGGCTGCCAGGTACACTTTGATTGTAGAGAAGACTAGCATCAGATGTCTGACAATGATGAAAGAAATGGTATCTTCTGTCTTTCCTGACACGATGCCTCAAACCCTTTCCATTTTGCCTCATACAGAGATCTGGTGAAGTCTGCTCTAGCACTCTGTATGGTGGAGATCACATTCTGAGGCAGGCCCAGGGCGTTCAGGTTAGACCTTTCACGGGCCAGACCCAAAGATTCCACCTCTCTGGATGAGGATGAAAAATCCTCCCCACTGCCAGAGAGAGGAGATCTCTGCGCTGAGGAAGACACCACGAATGCAAATACAGCAGTTGAACTATCTTTGCTGTCCATGTCCTCCCTGGCCATAACGGGGTTATTAGGAGCACCCTCACACTCTGTGAGCTGATTCTGGACAGTGTGGCGAGGATAAGGCTTATCGGTGGGAAAGCATATAACGGTCTCTGGCCAGGGATGTGCTAATGCATCCATCCCTAGTGGCGCATCCATCCCCTTTAGTGAGAAGAACAGGGGACAATGTGTGTTCTCCTCTGAGGCAAATAGATCCACTCTTGCCTGACCATATTTGCGCCATATTTCCTGAACTACCTCTGGGTGGAGCCTCCATTCCACCGGGTGAGTATTCCCCCTCGACAACAGATCCATCCCAATATTCATTTGGCTTGGCACATGTGTCGCTCTGAGAGACAGCAAGTGCTTTCTGCTCCATAACAATATTCTTTTTGCCAAGGCATGCAGACTCCTCGATCGGACTCCCCCTTGCCTGTTTATATAGGCAACCATTGTTGTGTTGTCTAATCTGACTAACACATGACAGCCTCTTATCTGCGGAAGGAAGTGTTTGAAGGCCAGAGAAACTGCAAGGAGTTCCAGACCATTTATATGCATTACTTTGACTGATTCTGTCCATACCCCATTCACAGGTTGTCCCTCCATTATCGCTCCCCAACCCAGTGAGGACACATCTGTGGTGACCACCTTGCAATTTGAGACTACTCCCATTGCCATTCCTTCCATCAAGAATTCCCTGTCCTGCCAGATGAGCAGTGCCTTTAGGCATTGGACTGAGACACGCACCTTTCTGTGTAAATGTCTGGAGGGATTTCATTTCAGAGAAGCAACCCATCTCTGAAAATCTTTCATGAACAGTAGCCCCAAAGGCACTACTGCTATGACAGAAGCCATGAGGCCCAGCAACCTCAGACACAGCTGAAAAGAGACTGTTTTCCCCAGATGAAACTGACCTACGCAGTTCCTTAAATTCTCCCTCCTCTCTTCTGACAGGGTTGCCCGGTAAGATACTGAGTTTAGGTTTAAACTCAGAAATATTATTGACAAAATCACAAATTAACCAGTCGTCCAGATACGTTAATATCCTTATACCCTGTTGTCTCAGCGGTGTTACTGCCGCTTCCACACATTTTGTGAAAATGCGGGGTGCTAGAGACAGGCCAAACAGTAAAACCTTGAACTCGTATACAGTGGTGTGAAAAAGTGTTGGCCCCCTTCCTGATTTCTTATTTTTTTGCATGTTTGTCACACTTTAATATTTCTGATCATCAAACAAATTTAAATATTAGTAAAAGATAACACAAGTGAACACAACATGCAGTTTTTAAATGAAGGTTTTTATTATTAAGGGAAAACTAAATCCAGAACTACATGGCCCTGTGTGAAAAAGTGTTTGCCCCCTAAACCTAATAACTGGTTGGGCCACCCTTAGCAGCAACAACTGCAATCAAGCGTTTGCGATAACTTCCAATGAGTCTGTTACAGCGCTGAGGAATTTTGGTCCACTCATCTATGCAGAATTGTTGTAATTCAGCTACGTTGGAGGGTTTTCGAGCATGAACCGCCTTTTTAAGGTCATGCCACAGCATCTCAATAGGATTCAGGTCAGGACTTTGACTAGGCCACTCCAAAGTCTTCATTTTGTTTTTCTTCAGCCATTCAGAGGTGGACTTGCTGGTGTGTTTTGGATCATTGTCCTGCTGCAGAACCCAAGTTTGCATCAGCTTGAGGTCACGAACAGATAACCGGACATTCTCCTTCAGGATTTTTTTGGTAAACAGCAGAATTCATGGTTCCATTTATCACACAGCTTCCAGGTCCTGAAGCAGCAAAACAGCCGGAAAACACTTCTTCACACAGGGCCATGTAGTTTTGGATTTTGTTTTCGCTTAATAATAAATACCTTCATTTAAAAACTGCATGTTGTGTTTACTTGTGTTATCTTTGACTAATATTTAAATTTGTTTGATGATCTGAAACATTAAAGTGTAACAAACATGCAAAAAAAATAAGAAATCAGGAAGGGGGCCAACACTTTTTCACACCACTGTATCTTGCCCTGGAAAGCAAACCTTAGGAATTGTCTGTGCTGAGGATGGATCTGAATATGGAAATAAGCATCTTTCAGATCTATTGAGGTGAACCAGTCTCCTCTTTGAATAGAATGGAGCAGGGATTTGTGTGTCAACATTCTGAATTTGTATTTTCTCAGGTGTTTGTTTAAAGTTCTGCAGTCCAAAATAGGCAGAATGCCTCCCCCTTTCTTTGGGATTAGAAAATACTGGCTGAAGAATCCCTTCTTTGATTCTTCTGCTGGTACTCCCTGAATTGCTTCCTTGAGAAGGAGAGAATTTATCTCTTCCTTCAAAATGTTTGCATTCTCTGCCTGCACTCTTGACTGTTTTATTCTCGAGAACCCTGGAGGTCTTCTCGCAAATTGCAGTCTGTACCCCTTTTGAATCGTGCTGAGTAACCACTGAGAATCTGTGCATTTTACCCAATTGTCTAGGTCAGGGGGGGCGAATGTCGGTCCTGGAGAGCCGCAGCCCTGCAGAGTTTTGCTTCAACCCTAATCAAACACACCTGAACAAGCTAATCAAGGTCTGAACGGTTACTAGGAAGCTACAGGCAGGTGAGTTTTAATTAGGGTTGGAGCGGTGGATGTTCTGGAAAATTTGGGGACAACAGACAAGGAAAGGGAGATGTTAAAAATGTCCATGAAATCTCCTGCTAATTAGGGATGTAACGGTTCAGATTGCTCACGTTTCGGTTCACGTTTTAGGGTCATGGTTCGGTACGCACAAGTTCTCAAGCGTTTATTCTTTGCTTGAATGTTTAAATTGACAAGGTTTAAAAACATGCACAAAATAGTTTAGTTTAAAGCACCCAATAATGATGTTTTACATG